CAATGAAATCATAGAATTAAACCGTATGATCTATATCATTCGAGAAATCAATCCATTTCAAATGCATTTAGATTAATATATATATATATATATATATATATATATATATATCCTATTTTTATAAGATGGATCAACTGGGATCAATAAATTCAACTAAACTTTAGTTTAATTAATCATAGAATACTCTAATATAAAGTCATAACTAATTGAATAAGTAAAATGCTAACCAGAAAGTTATTTGACCTTACAACAACACCCTATTATAAGAAAGGTCCAAAATGAAAAGTTAACAAGGATGACAACAATACTCATGTCAATTATATTAAATCAAAATCATCATTTTGCATAACATTAGAGTAAATGTAATTTACTACATTTAACACTTTCCTACAAGTGTCTCAAAACCTATAAAAGTTTCACTAAGACTTGTTAAAAAGAATACTTGGTGTTGAACCTAGATAGACTTGTTCAAAAGAACACTTGATGTTAAACCTGAAGAGGCTTGTTGAAAGAATAACCATTCGACACATTAACATCTTTCAAGGTCTTTAACATAACATCTATCTCTTCCTTTGCTAGTGTGTAAACAAGGAAGTAGGAAACTTTCTTCCATCATTTGGCAGCCAAAGTTCTCTTCTTATACCCATTGTCTGAAAGTATTTTTAAGCCTCCACATGATCTTTACCTTTTTTTGTCATTTATCAATGTGAAAATCACATTGTTGCATACATTAATTTTAATATGCATCACATTTAGATTGTGTCGCAACAAATTAAACTCCCAGTATGGAAGTTAAAAGAATATACTTTTCTTCTTCCATTGTTGAGCTTGAAGTTCATTAGTTCTCTTTCCATGACTTTTTTTTTATATATTATATAATGATTTAGGCTTTTCTTTCCCAAATATGACTTCTATATTCTTAACTTGGTCTAAAATTTCTAAACTAGATAATTATCATGATGGATCCCTATCCTTAGCATTTCCGTCAAAAAGAACTTGATTCAATTGGAACCCATGTTTTTTAGGCAAAAATCGACTATGACACATAAATCACGGTTTTTTTACAGCATAGAATACGAATAGGAGTTGCATCAAAATTACAAGATGGACAAGCTAGCCTGGTATAAGTATTCCATCCAGAAAGCATACCAATGCCAGGAAAGTCACTAATAGTCCATAAAAGACATTCTCGCATCTTGAACACTTCATTTTTTTTAAGCATCATATGTTTCAACACCTTTTTCCCATAACTCCTTCATTTCTACTATAAGAGGTTGCATGTAAATGTTGATGTCATTACCTAGCATTCACTTTCCAGGGATTAGGTTTGAGAGAATAAAGTTTGTTGGCTTCATACATATCCATGGAGGAGTATTGTATATCTTAATCATATTCGATTTAAAATTAATTTTAACCAAATAATTCTTTATAACTTTAAAATATACAAACACTTAATTATATGAGTCAACAATATATTATTTAAATTATTTGTTTATTGTAGATTATTTGTCCAAAATATTTCATTCAAAACACATATATAAAAGAATATTATTTTTAAATTTAAATATATTTATATTCTTAAAAGAGCATTTTTTAATTTGATAAAAATATTCATTTTTATGTTTAAATTTATAAGAAATATATTCTTTTAATTATTAGTGAGAGTATAATTAGATTACTTTGATAGATATAAAGATTAAAACCAACAAGTCGTTGATTCAAATGACATGAAGCTCTATTTTTTAAACTCAAGTGTTATGGATAGAAAAAAAAAGTGCTAAAAGGGGAGACCCCATTAAAGGTGTGTTTGGTTTAAATTATGAGAATGGAGAGGAAGGATTTTAATGGATGAGAGGGGAGGGAAGGGGAAGGATTTGAAATTTTGTTTGGTTGAGAAGATGGGAGGAAAGGACAAATAAATCTTTTCTTGTTTAGTAGTTCACAAGGGGATGAGAGGGATTTTATTAAAAAAAACAATTTACCTATGTATTCTTACAATATTAATTTTAGAAATATAAGTAATAACATTTTAGACATTATACTAAAAATATTTTAAAATTCATTCCTTTCCCTCTGAATCCTTCCAATATTGAAGAGAAACTAAAATTAGATGGGGAAGGGTTTTGCTCCCCTTCATTCACCTCGCCACCTAAAAATTGAACAAAATAAGAAAATTTTATAAAAATCTCTCTCATCCATTCCAACCAAACATTATGTAAAGGTAATTAGTTAAGTTACACAACATAAACTTAATCATCAGCAAAACAAGTAGGTATTTCATACCAATAATATACTTTTTAAAATAAAATATAAAGGTTAAATTGAATAAAAAGTTAATACTAAAAACACAATAAACATGAACTTTTTGGGTATTTACTTAATACAAAGTACTCTCTACACCTGTACATAAGAAAAAAAATGGTTAAATTTTTTGGATTGATATATAAACAAATTTCAATCACATCAACATTATTAATTAATATTTTTTAATTCAAAAGTACTCCTAAAACAATTAATGAAAACACTATTACAGTAATTGTTACTAAGGATATTTTTAGAAAATGTAATATATATTTCATGTGAAATTGTGAAAATTAAATATATTTATTATGTATAGTTATTGACAGGATACAAGTTACCATTGATTTGTCATCCACGATCTCACTTTTTAACTTCCTATAAAGAAGTTGGAGTAGTCAAGTTATGAATGTTGTAGCCTTTGTGGTGGTGCATGTCATTTGGATCATCTGGTTATCGAGAATTTATTTGCATTTCAACAATAAAGCCCTTTCATTTCAACACTCGATTTTAGTGGTTGTCTTGCTTGTTTCTTTGACAAGTAAATTGTCTATTGGTTTCCAATTCTTGTTCCACGGAGGAATTCAATATCTTGAAACGCCTCATGGTCCCTATTCATTTGTTGAAGCCCACTTTGATCAAATAGGTGAATTGCTACCTTCCAACTCATGGCTTTATAAAGTGTAACACAAATGGTGGTGCTCAGGGCTCCCCTGGTCATGTTGTTTGTGATGGCCTTTTTAGAGATAGTAACAGATCTTTCTTGGGTGGATTTGTACCCAACATTGGTATTAAGACAACTTGGCATGCTGAACTTATTGCTATTATGTGTGTTATTGAAAATGTGCATAATGTTGGGTGGCCCAAGCTTTGGTTAAAGTATAATTCTAAACTTGTTCTAGGTGCTTTTGGAAACACCTAGATTGTTCCTTGGGACATTCGTGATAGATGGTGACATTGTCTCTCACTTTGTTTGCTTATGAATTTTTTTCATTCTCATATTTATCATAAAGGAAATCAATGAATAGATAAATTAGTTGATTTTGGCTTAAAGCATAAGATTTTTTATAAGTGGTGGTCTATCTTCTTTTGTTTGAGAAGTTTTTTTGTGATCATTGTAATTTACCTTCCTTTTGTTTTTGTTGATTCCTACATGGATTTTGATATAATCTCTCCATGTTATTATTACTATTTTTATTTTTATTTTTATATATTTTTTAGTATGCAAATGATTGATAGGCACTACTAAAATTTTTCTTATTACATGCGACTTTTCCTGTGAATTTTTTATAAAACTTTGCAGGAAACATTGTTCTTACAAATTTTTCTACGAAATTTTATCTGCTGGTAATACCTTCGTGGATAATATGTTTTTGCGAATTTTAAAATTTGCAAGAAATTTTCCTACGAAATTTCTTGCGAAAAAAATTCGCAACAAAGTTTCTTGCAAAAAAAAAATTTGTAGGAAAGTTTCTTGCAAATTTTTTCGCAAAAAATTTTGCAGGAATATTTTTTACGAAAAAAAATAAAGAAATTACTACAAATTCTATCAATAATTCTTCAACTTTCAAATGTTCATAATGAATTCATCTGAAACATTTGTTTTCACGCCTCCAACATGTGATACATACTCTTTTAAATTTTAAGATTGTAGATTATAAGTCTTAACACTCAACCATACAAATCAACTTTTAAAGTAAGTATTGTCCCAACTTATATACTCTTTCATTGTTTTATTTCCAATTGATATGGGACTTGAAGTTTTTTTAAAGTATTAAACTTATAAATTTAAATATTTTTTTTGATTTTTTCTGCGAATTAAAATTGGCAGGAAATCTGCAGGAAAAGTTACCTACAAATTTTTTCTACCATTTAGTAAACATTACTTGCGAATTTATTTTTGCAAGAAATCTGCAAGAAACAAATTAAAATTCTTACACTATTTTATGCAAATTTTTATCATGGAAAAAAATTTCTATGATCATTAAAATTGTAGCAAAATTTACAAAAATTTATTGTAGATTATTTTTCATAAAAAAATTATAAGAAATATCTAAAAATTATTTTTCGCAAATAAATTTGTAAATTTTTTTGTGAAATTATTATGACAAGAAAATTCGTAAAAAAATTCTGCAAATATTTTTTTTAGAAAAATTTGCAGGAAAATGACGCGTTTATAGTAGTGAGACTTTTGGGTGCCAACCTTAATGAGATATCTTAATTCTACAATGATACTTAGTATGTTAAACATTTTTATTAAAAAATACATATTTATTAACTTTTTTATAACTATTTATTAATTTTTCTAATAGTCTGAAGTTTAATATAAGGCTTCGAGCAACAATTGTTCACGATCCAAATATTAAGTCTAACATTTGCCCAAAATTGAAGTCTTATAGATATACACTGCATTCGAAGAAACAATCCATCATTGATTATAGTAATTATTAAAATTTCAAAACAGTGATTACTCCAAGAAATAATCATGTGATGGAGGAGTTATTCAAACGTAAAGAATTACCAAGAACGAATTTTGAGGAATTAAAAATAAATAATTTGTGATGGATGAATAATTTCGGTAAATGACCAGTCAGAGTAACGATTATTAAAATTGCCACCCGCGATTATTCTAAGGAACAGCTAACGTGTGATGGTGGAATTGTGCCTATATAAACATCACAAATATTGAGGACAGTACTCAAGTGAACACTAGTGTCGACCAAAAAGCAACTAAACACCAACAAAAATGGGTTCCAATTCCAAACAAAGTCAAATTCCTCCGCAAGTAGCAAAGGTCGACGATGATGCTTACCTCTGTGCTGCTTTACTTTCTCTTAGCCAGGTCTTCCCTGCAGTTCTAAATGCTGCTATTGATATCAACTTGTTTGATATCATAGCAAAGGCACAGAGTTCACGTGATTCATCTTTTTCTGCCTCTCAAATTGCTTCTTTGCTTCCAAATCAACACCCTCAATTGGCTAATAGGCTTGAACGCATCTTGCCACTTCTAGCCAGTTATTCTCTTCTAGATTGCTCCATTCGAACCAATCAAGATGGTAAGACAGAAAGAGTTTATGCTCTCTCACAGGCTGGCAAATACTTTGCATTTGATAACGATGGAAGCTCTCTAGCTCCTCTCACAACTTTAGTACATCACGGATATCATGATCTTTGGTAATTAAGAATTCTCTTAATTATGTTTATTTTTTGTCGTTGAAAATATTTCCCTCATGAAAGTTAAATTTTATATTTTTTAACTATTCAATATAGTCTTGTTAGGATATAAATAAAGTCTCAAATAATTTAAATAAAAAGATAAATACTGCGTTTATATATACATATTTATCTCTATTGGTAAGAGATTTTTTAGGTGATGTTAAAAAAAATCATAAATATTTAGAAAATGAATAATATCTTCTTAATATAAATATAAAGACATGTGAGTGTATGAAACTCCTGTGTACAACATGCATAAATAAATTTCTAACTACATATTTTCTTCTTTTTTGTCTTTGGTTATTTCAGTTTGTATGTCATAATATTGGCTAGATGAAGATTGTATTAACTTTGTCATAAATCTTTGTCATCACATTGGAAAAGTGATTGTTTTGGACTAGAGGTTTCAAATTCAAGCAATATATCAAAACATACTAGTGTTCTTCACATGCTCATGATTTTAGCACATGGTGAAAGGGAAAGAACTGAGAATGAATTTGAGATCTTCAGCAAGAGCTCTGGTTTTTCCAAGTTTTATGTTGCATGTGATGGTACAGTAGGAGTGATGAAATTTTATAAATAAAAAACTGTCGTGCAGTAATTGGAATCTATATGCATGTTGCTAGCAATGTTGGATAAATAAGTGAAAAAAAAATGATATTTGGTAATTACGAATTTAATGTTACTTAAAAATATTCCCACAGTTGTAAAAGTCACGGGTCTTAAATATTTATTTTATGTGGTGTTTTAATAGGAAGAATGTGAAGGATGCAATTGTGAACCCTAATAGCAATATCCATTTCGAAAATGTCTATGGAATGCCTCCATTTGAATATATGGAAAGAAATGCAGAGCTGAATCAGAGTTTTTACAAAGCAATGGCTCACTTTGACCCACTACAGGTGAAAAGGGTACTCAAATTCTATAAGGGGTTTGAGGGAGTGTCAACACTTGTTGATGTGGGAGGTGGAATAGGCGAGACCTTAAAACAGATTGTCTCTGCATATCCTTCAATTAAAGGAATTAATTTTGATTTGCCTCAGATGATTCAAGATGCACCACCTCTTCCAGGTACACATATACTACTCTTTTAAATTTAAAGTAAATTTATTTTTAATCTTTGTAATTAAAAAAAAATTATTTTAATTTTTATATTTAAATTATTAAAAAATTTATTAAATATTATCATATAAAATTTACATATTGTAGATTATGTCGATGAAAACATTACATTAAATCCTATTAATATTATATATTTGTCGTAATCTGTCAATTTTATATATGTTATTAGTAATCTAAGAAAGTAAAACAATATTTTAAAAATTACAAAGATTAAAAATAATAATTTTAATTTAGAAAACAAAAAAAAAAATTATCATAAATTTAATGGATTAAAAATATATTTAAAACTATTTTAAAATATGGGTTGGCCGGATACCAGAAAAGAATTGTGGAATAAGTTTTGTCAAAATTATCAATTAAGAAACACTCATTTTGCATGAAGGTATAGAGCATATCGGAGGATCTATGTTTGAAAGTGTTCCAAATGGTGATGCCATTTTACTCAAGGTTGGTGAACTACATGAGAGTTCAAATTCAGAAAAATTTAACATGGCATAAATAAATTTCTAATCGTATTTTCTTCTTCTCTGTCTTTGGTCATTTCAGCATGTCTGTCACAATTGGTCAGATGAAGATTGTATCAAGTTTTTAAAGAATTGTCACAAAGCTTTGCCACCACATGGAAAAGTGATTGTTTGGGAACATATGGTTCCAGAGATCCCAAGTTCAAGCAATACATCTAAGCACACTTGTTCCGTGAGCAATCTCATGTTTTTAGCACATGGTGGAAAAGAAAGAACTGAGAATGAATTTAGAAACTTGTGCAAGAGTTCTGGTTTTTCCAAGTTTCATGTTGCATGCAGTGATCTCTCTGCTTCGTCAGAAGTGGTGGAATTTTATAAATAGAAATTACATAGCAGTTATTTGCAATCTCAATTAGCTATCAGCTGTCTCTAGCTTTTTCATCTCTCTTTTGTAGTGGAAGAAATAATGTAACAATGAATAAGGAGGCGCTATGTAATTGTTTTACTTCTGTATACTTATATCTCCCACATGTGATTATATTAACATGTGATATTTGTATTTGAATGATAAATTTTAAAAATTTAAGAAATTAGAATTTGAATTGCTTTTATTTTAATTTTTATCATTTAAATTTGTTTAATTAAAAAGAGTCTTTTAAGATCTCACTCAACCTTACAAGTAAATGATGGTTTCTGGCCATGTGATGTGACTATGATGGTTTCTTCTCTCTGCTTTGATACTTTTGTAAAAAAGAATAATATGAGTACCATGAAGAACTTGTGGGTCACTTTTTATGGTCTTTGTCTTATAAAGGATAGAGGTTTCTCGGAAGACATCATTGTGGAATCTAATTCAGCTTTCGTGGTTAAATTTCTCGATGAAGGTTGCCATGTCAGTATGTCACTCACAATTGTGTCACTTTGTTCAACTCTATAGACTATAATTGAGATTGGTGATGTGAACCAAGATGTATCTAGTACGCATGTGTTTAGGGATGCAAACCAGGTTGTCGATGTTATGGCTGATCTTCATTTTTCTTTACAAATCAGTTTACATGTATTTGAGCACCCCCCCCCCCCCCCCCCCCCTTCTCAGTTTTTTCTCCCT